AAAACAACAACCTGCCGAGGAAAGTTGCACCTTCGCAGACATACTTCTGTCATTTTCCCCTTGCGAGTTAATGTCTCCATGCTCAACTCGGCCACGTTGGGCTGTCACACTCAGCGAATCGGAAGCAGACAAGAATCGCACGGCAATTATTTCGCAAGTTGCACATAGTTGGCTGGGAAGAGCCCCTTCTTACCATGGTACTCACCAAACCACCAATCATCATCGGGGAATTCCTGGAGGACATAGGCAATGGCCCAGATGATTAGCTATCAAGGATTGGAGGCTTCCCCATATGCTGGGAAGAGGGGGGGAAAGGGGGCAGTCGAGACTGATAGGCTCGAATAATCACGACTTACAATGTTCGTTATTTCAGCGCCCTCAGGAAAGCTGAGTTCGTTATCTTCGGCGGCTTCATAGTCATACAGAGCCGTCGCAGTAGACTCATTGATTGGCACGGGAGCCGGAGCCGGAGATTCAGTGACTTTCGTGACAGGTTCCGATTCAACCATGTCTTCGTGGCGCCCTGAAGCCGCTTGGGTCTGTTCCTCATCTGCAACTACCTCCACATAATTGCTGGGGAAAAGACCTCTATCTCCCTGGGCGTTCGACCCTAACCACCAGTCCTGATCGACCATTTCAATATTAGTAACGTACTCGCCTTCCTTCAGTTCGATCTCATTATCTTCTGCTTTCTCGTAATCATACTGTACGAGAGCTTTGATCCCGCCTTCTTGCATTTCGTCACCAACAGTAGCTTGGGCTGTCGCCCGTCCAATGTCGTGAACGTCATCCTCCAGCTCCTCATCTTTGGGCACTGCGTCTTGTAGACTTCCGATGGGTATCACGGGTGGCGAGCGTTGCTCCTCAAGTATATCAGTAGGTCCTTTACCCACGGGTAGGGCAACGCGTATTGGGGAAGTTTCGCGCTCCGGACTGGGTGGGGTTGGAGATCGAGGCTGTTGCGGCGGGGTGGGAAGCTCTTGACGAGTTACAGACTCTTGAGGGGCTTCCAAGTCTTGAGAATCGACCCGCAAGCCAGGTAAAGGAATGGAATGGCTGCTAGTCTTGGCATTTTCTCGTACGAGAGGAGAGTCTGGTGCAGGGCCTTGAGAAAATTGATCCCTGATAGCACTGACACTTGGTTGGGGAGTTTGGGTATCAATTTGGGTCGACTCAGTAGGAGCTGAATCTGACTCCTGGTACGGCTGGGGAACGTCACTATCGAAGGACTTGCCGGTGTGTGTGGTCTGAACCGGGGCCCAAGTTTTGCCGCTATAGGAACTCTTCCATTCCCCCTTTTCACTTTCCTGGTTGATAGCAGTGGCGCCGTTAGACGATAGCGGGGCCGATACATTCTCTTGTCCACGCTCTTTAGCTTTCCTTTCTGCCCAGAGCTGTGCCGGCGTCTTTCCACCCTCATCGGCAAATGTACGGCTTGCACTGCCAATCTGTGCGGTAGAAGAGCCCGGCTTTGTAGAAGGGACAACAGGCAGAGGCGGTTTTGTACCCACGAACGCTGAGTTAACACCGAACTTGTTCGCCACTTTCGGCTTCGGTAAGCTTCTCAGACGCTCGGAACTGCTGGATGGAGCTGCATGATCAGCCAATTCGTGAGAATCACGCTCGTTGTCAGCTGTAGAAACGTTTGGCTTCTGTACTTTGGAGCGAATTGCAGCAATGTCGACTTTTCCGACAGGCTCATATGCACCCCGCACAGGCTCTGGCTTATCATCACTCAAGTTGCCCGCTTCGCGTGCCTGTTTCCGGATTGCGGCAATATCTACCTTCCCAACAGGCTGGTAACCGCCTTTGACAATATCACCACGATCCTCGGAACGCTGCGCATCATTCACGGCCGTGGCATCTCTTGGCTCTGACCTCAGTTTCTGGATATCAACCTTCGTCGGCTTATAGGCTGGTTGAACCTTTTCAAGCTCGGTCCTAGTAACAGGTGGCGCATCAGGGCCCCAGCCATCATTGTCATCACGGCTCTGGACTACCCGCTGTGGGCCCGATACCTCTGCTCTCAGATCAATGCCAGCAGTTCGGCTAGGGGTGAAAACAGGCTTCGTCGATATCGGCGGCTTGGGTGTCAAAGATGGTTGTTGGGCTGTACCTGGAGTGTACTTGGCGCCAGATGAGTCGCCAACTTTCTGTATGATTCCCTCGGCGGTTAGGTCTCCCTCCGAGCGAGCAGTTATCTGTACATGGTATCCCTGGTAGATCTTTGAGTCAGATAATAAGTAGGAAATGGAGCAAGTGTGAACTAACGTGCAAAAACTTCGAAACGGCAGACAAGTGACTGGTAAAATATCCTTTTGTCCGTTCAGGAACACCTTCGCCGCACCAGGCAATGAGAACATTCTTGGGAAGACCCGTGTTCGGATCTACAACCTTGACATAAGCGAACTGTATTTTCCCCTCTGAAAATTCATCGATAAGATCCGCCAAATCCCCGGCTTGTGGAATATAGTCAGTTAAAGTTTCATTTAGTTAGTGGGAGACTTACCTCCGGTATCTTGGACCTTCAAGACACTTTCTTTGTTAGAACTCTCTTTCTGGAATGCATTGACGAGTGGTGTAGAGACAGAGAAGATCGCCCATTGTCCATAAGTAGGGGACTTTGTGTCAGAACCCGCAAAGGAAGAGTTCACGACATTCTGGTAACTCTTTGATATCGAGGGTCCATTTGCCGATAAGTTCAGGGTCGCCATATCTACCAACTGCTTCACCACAAAGGCTTCGGATGTCTGTGTAATAACCTAACACAATTGTTCCCTGTCAGACGTGGCAGAAGGTAACAAGTAACGCTCCAAATCTGTATGACACTAACGAGATAAAATTGTATACCTTTATTAACTAAGAATGACCGTATGTATGAAAGAACACCGGGTGATAGTTGGGTAAATAGGAGTAGTTGTGTCTGCCTAGGGGTCATGTTCAGACTAGCGGGATACGTCACACTCTACGGAGCATGGGGGGGCACCGGGATCCGGAACAACAGTCGGGCGAGGCGGTGCATTCCCCTTTCAGTATTAGTACAAATAAGGTACCCAGGGACCTTGAACACCGAACACTCGGGTAACTTGCCCACTGTACCTACTGTAGATCTGGCTACGAATCGGGCCCGAGGGATCTCCAGGTGGGCATAACAGGGTAAACGGATATTTCCGGCTGCAGACGATGTCCATTATTGATATACTACTACTAAAGAATTGAGGCGGGGCGGCAGAGGGGAAATATGTCTACATAAATACATAACGAGCGTGCCAGGCTTCAGTTGAGATACTACTGAAATACTCCGCACTTCATACTTTGTAAAGTAAAACGCAGGTAAGGCCTAGTACTATCCAACCACCCCGAGCCACAGAAAAAGGTCGGGGTTGATTTCAAAGAAGTCCTGACTCGAGCATTACCTCCAGAACTGGGGCTCTGGTCTAGCTTTAGCACTCCGAAAATGCTCCTTGATGTTCTAATCACTCAAGTGCCCTTCACTAGGCGACTTGAGGTTGTTGCTATACAGTTAGGTCCGGCTTGTTCGAGGTACTGGGGCGCTGGCTTCCTTTACTGCAGCCAATTGGCCATTGGCAGGCACAAATAAGCCATGCATGACAATCCACAGTACTGTGTATCAGAATCTACATCTACATTTGACTTGGTAGCTATAAAACCATAACAGTATAATTATAGTAACTTACACCAGTCCGCATTGATACAAAGAGGCGGCTGCTAATCGGATGGCATTCTGCACCATACGGACTGCATCCTATACCGGATTCTGTCTCTGCTGTACCAGCAGCACTCTGATTAGTACTAGTACTAGTTGATCCCTGGATTTTGACCCTTTGATGGGTCAGAGCGATTTTACAGTATTTGTATAGTATTCGATTAGAGAATCTTCTTCCCGGCTATTTGAGTACGATATTCTACTACTTTGCTCTTACCAGGGGATTTAGGGTGTACTAAGGTTATTAGATTAGTTAGAATATTTATTGGAGATTTGTATGGTTGGTTCTCGATCTACTTTGTGCTTATAGTGATCAAAAATAGATCTAATATGCAGTTTGTACGGTGTTAGCACTTGCCTAGATAGAGCGATAGTTTCGGTTGCTCTCCGAAATTACAATACGTGTATGGAGAGGTACCGCATATTGTGTTTTCTGCAAGCCGAACTAGCTTTGTACGAAATAACTACTAATTACATCATAGGACTGTAGCAAGTGGGATCATGTGACGAGTTTTAGGGCCAGCGCGTAGTGTGGAAGAGATGCCGAGTAACAAGGCAGGTCCTACCTAATGTATTAGATACAAATGCTAGTACGTATGTATATATCATATCGATGAAAGATTTACCCCGCGAAACTTCTATTTTATCTTACCAGCTGCACGTACATTCTGAATGAAAATGTCTGATACAACCAATACATCCTGGGCCCCGGCAGGCGCAATAGCAGCGGGTATTACTTGAAATTACATAAACTTACGTTTACGTTCAGCGGTGAAGCCTTCAGTTTGCTCATACTAAAATTCGTCCAGCCATCTTGGACCTGATTAGTGTCACAATATTGTACAGAAGGACCTGTTCGTGTAAACTGCACTGGCAGTTGTCAAGGGATGACCTCTTCACACTCAGGTCATGCTCTCAGGCTGGATGCCAATGCCAGCACATCTCAAGATCCATCAGAAAATGGTGTTCTTCTACAAACTAACAACAATGTCGACGGCCCATTGCTTGTTCCTGGTGACGAAAGGATAGAAGTAGTTGAGCCGAACAACTGCGACGTTGGTCCAGCAGAAACAGATTCCGGAAGTATTCTTCCAAGGGATATACAACTGAAGACGCCCACCTACGATTATGCCTTCGAAAAGTCAATGAGCCACGCTGAAGCAAAGCTCTTTTACCAACATCACCAGATCGCTTCTCGGAACCTTGATGGGGATCATCACAACGAAGCACCGACTATGGCAACTTTAGGCGACTCTGATCCTAGAGACATGGCAGGGTCACCTCCAGGTATTAAAGTCACTGCTGTTTCGCCGGCCAACAAACCAGAAATGACTTTCCCAGCTGGGAAACATACCACTGACTTTTCTGCGTCTCAACAACATCCCGAGCCACATGAAATGCATGTCATAAGCCCCCAAAAGGATGAAACATCCTTCTCACGTTCGCATAATGTGGAGAATACTAGCGACTCCTTGGGAGCAGTTCAGGGTATGATGAACATCTCAGCAGATAGCAGCGCGGTCACTTCTGAGTTGAATGTTATATGTCGCAAGATGAAAAACTTACTTGACCGTCGGTCGAAGTACATACAGCTGTCTCTGCAGGGGCCTGAGGATAACCCGAAAGATCATCCCGACTGGGAGATATACCCCCCTCCCCCGGAACCAGCCTGGGATAACGAGGGGGACATTGGTAGAAGTGCCGATAGCTCCCGTATTGATCAAAAAAGACGGAAAATGGGACAAGACGTTGGAGAAGATTTCGACATGGCCCATTGCTTGCCGCTTCCTACAGAGTCCCGCTGGGTATACAGACTGGATGAAAATAGTGTATATCAAGTCTATGAAAATGATGCAGCGGCTGATTTGCGACAGCCTGTGGTCAATATCCCATCCTTGCGGGATTTTTATATGGACCTTGATGCGGTAACGGACGTGTCAACAGACGGCCCAGCTAAAAGCTTCGCGTTCAAGCGGCTTTCCTACTTGGAAGGGAAGTTCCAGCTCTATGCTCTCCTAAACGAATACCAAGAGATCGCCGACAGCAAGAAAGTACCTCATAGAGATTTCTACAATGTCCGAAAAGTCGACACACATGTTCATCACTCTGCGTGTATGAACCAGAAACATCTTCTTCGTTTCATCAAGAGCAAGATGAAGAAATCACCGGATGAAGTAGTTTTGTTTCGCGACGGCAAGCATCTGACACTAAGGGAAGTCTTCGAGAGTATTAATTTGACGGCTTATGATTTGAGTATCGATACGCTCGATATGCATGTATGTCTCAAAGCATTACTTTTAACCGTTTAGCTACTAAGTGTGGTACAGGCACATACCGATTCTTTTCACCGTTTTGACAAGTTTAACCTCAAGTACAACCCTGTGGGTGAATCAAGGCTGCGTGAAATATTCCTGAAAACAGATAATTTCATCAAAGGACGCTATCTGGCCGAGATAACCAAGGAAGTAATCTCTGACTTGGAATCAAGCAAATACCAAATGGTGGAATGGCGCATCTCCATATATGGACGATCCATTCAGGAGTGGGACAAGCTTGCAGCCTGGGTTGTTGACAATAAGCTCTTTTCTCCTAATGTCCGTTGGCTGATCCAGGTACCTCGGCTGTATGATGTGTACAAATCGAGCGGCATGATGGAGAATTTCGAGCAGGTGATCACAAACGTTTTCCAGCCATTGTTCGAAGTGACAAAGGATCCAAATAGCCACCCCAAGCTCCATATTTTCTTGCAACGTGTGGTTGGGTTTGACAGTGTTGACGACGAGAGCAAAGCGGAGCGGCGACTATACAGGAAATATCCGATCCCAAGGGAATGGAATACGAAGCAAAACCCTCCGTATAGCTATTGGATATATTTCATGTTTGCTAACATCGCATCTCTCAATACCTGGCGCAAGCAACGCGGTTTTAACACATTTGTCTTGAGGCCACACTGTGGCGAGGCTGGGGATCCCGATCATCTTGCAGTGGGATTTCTCTGCTGCCATAGTATCAGTCATGGAATCCTTCTGAGGAAGGTTCCCCTGCTGCAATACCTATATTATCTCGACCAGATAGGCATTGCTATGTCACCCCTCAGTAACAATGCGCTGTTTCTAACCTATGACAAGAACCCTTGTGCGAACTTTTTCAAGAGAGGCCTCAACGTTTCCTTGTCTACTGACGATCCCTTGCAGTTTGCTTTTACCAAGGAGCCCCTTATTGAGGAATATTCAGTCGCTGCGCAGATCTATAAGTTTAGTGCGGTAGATATGTGTGAGCTTGCAAAGCATTCAGTCGAACAAAGTGGATTTGAAGTATCTCTAAAAAAGAGATGGCTAGGCAACAATTGCTGCCTTCGGGGTGTCGCAGGAAACAATGTTGCCAAAAGCAATGTTCCCGACATTCGTGAACAATTTAGGCATGAAACTTTGCTCGGGGAATTGACACTGTAGGTTTCAATCCTTTGGCATGCGCGGAATGATACCGTGCTATTATTACATAAGGGGAATATTGGCTAACTCTAGGTTCCTCAGGATCGAGCGACATGCAAACACGGGGGACGATACAACAGCTCGGCTGAAAGGTTCCACTGTTGCCGCTATCAATCATTTGGGATCTTCGGGGCCACTACTTCCTCAGGTACGAGGTGATCCGGGTTCAGGTATGCTGTCACATATCTAGGTACCGAGTGATCTGGCGCTTATGCTGTCATAGTCTCATTGGATTGTACCGATGACTCTTCAACTTCTCAGTACCAAAGAGCAGGTGTAGGAGATGACTGCATAGACCCGCAGGCTGCGAGCCCAAATGTCAGCAAAAGTGCATCCGTTGGCGGCTTACCAGCACGATCTCCTGAAACAACAAGTCTCACTGCTCCTGGGGGGTTCGGCACATCTTCTAGCAGCACTAGCACTGCTGCTAAATCTACGCTCAACACGGATCCTATACCGGAACAAAAGATCTTTCCAGGCATTGTGCATGAAAGAGCTCACCGGAGTAACATACCAATTGATGGCATAACTACGGAGGACGGAGAGGAATGATAACTACATACGTTCAGCATGGGCAGCAGGTTTGAGGTAGTATTAGTCTGGACAGAACGAATGCGATTCATGTGTCAGCCGTGGTTTCATCGCCTCTGGCCCTGCAAAAGGAGACAATAATGCCACTCCTGAATATGGGACATACCTAGATCTTGTATCCTGAGTTTTCACATGTGATTTAGGAGAGTTCTTTCTTTCATCATTAGAGCTGTATCAGATGGCCCAGCTACCCTTTCGTTCACACACCCCCCATGCTCCATGAATACCGTCATCAGCCATTTTGGGCCGTTTTCTAGCCCACTCTTGTATGTATAAGCGCAATGCCATCCATCGCATACATAGGCCCTTCTCTACCTTCCGATCCGTGGGACCTTCATCCATGACGCTAACGTAACCCTTCGCATCTGTCTTGAGGTCATCGCGTCTAAGATCTGCTACAGAGATTCCAGAAATGATACTGAGCTCATGATCGTAGTAGCGAGCAACACAGGGATAGCCCAGGGACAAATAATTGTAGATCTGAGTCACGAAGCTATCAGTCAACTCATGATCAAGGTCCTGGTCGCTAGCATGTTGTCTCGTGTGCCTCGAGTCCAAACTTTCGGGATCCCTTGATGAATCCAATAACGACCGGTTCTCATAACCCTTGATATGGGAGGTTTGGGTTGAGCATTGAGGATATTCACCGGCATCACCGCTTGACCGCGGGCTGGATGACTGCGAATCTTCCAAATGCGAAAGGCGCTTGTTGGATTTACAAGTTCCCATCCAAAGACCGCCACCATCAGAGTCATCAAAAAGGTGGCGGTCTGCATACCAAAGCCCAGCATTGTGATACTGTTTGTCTTGCGTGACGTAATGTTCAACATTGCTGCTCTCACATATTGTCGCTTCGGGTGAAACACTTTGTGGAAATACAAGATCCTCTCCAAGCATGGGTGGGCTTATGCCTGGCTTGATTTGTGTCAAACCAAACCCACCGGCCCAGTTTCCGCAAGAAACGCTCGCTCCGTCAAAAGGTCGCCTATCAGTTGGTGAGAAATGCAATCCTTTTGTTCCAGCCATAGCACGATCACACATCTCAGCCTCCTCCTTATGCCTGCGCAAGTACTCGAGTTCCCATGGCAGATCTGCGGACGAGGCCCTTCGATGGATGCCTGGTGTGAATATGTCCGTACGGACTTGCAACTTTTCATCCTTCGAAGAGTCATCATCCTCTCTATCAACTGCGAAATGGTCCACGGGCTGATAGACTTGTTCGTTAGGGAAAGCCGCGAGGGCCTGCTCCTTTAGTTGATTTTCTGCAGAATGGGCTGCTAGAGCTACCACATACTCCGATAATTGACTTGCATGACGCTCATTTATATGTGTTTTCTGTTTCACAGAAGGTCCACAATGAGCAGCAGAGAATGATGGTGGTCGTGGAGAGACTTCTGAATCATCAGAGTCCTCACTACAACTCGATGGAATTGCAGGAAGATCAGGTATTCGGAAAGAATGTCTTCTGGTTTCCTGGCGTCGTTGCAAATTTGCATATGAAAACCAAGACTCCTCTATGCCGGTGACATCATCTGCGAATTGGTCCCTGATACCTTCGTGATTTATATTTCGAGGCAATGCTTCTGGTATGCTTTCACTGTGATGAATATGCCTCATCTGCTGTCTCCGAAACGATCGTTGGCCAGTCTCCACGAGTTGTGGTGTGAATTTCCTCGGAAACAGGAGCACGGAGTTTCTCGGACCTACAGAACGTGATTCTCCCTTGAATTGCTGATCTTCCCGGGCCACCCCAGTTGGCACAGTTAAGCTAACGGCTTCGTTGACCGCTGGCCCTGAGCTTATATCATTCGTTCCAGAATTATCGCGGACAGGCTGCGGAGCCCTTTCTGTTACAATTGGACGCGAGATATTCTTGGGTTTAGGTGACTGTTCGTTGGAGCCTCGTGAGCCCTTCTGTGTCGACGGGCTGGTTTCTCGGAAGGTAGCCTTAGGATCCCTAGAACTGCGGGAAGAGGTTTCGACAGGTTCGGGCAGGAAACGCCTGACCCTTTTATCTGATGTGAGACCTCGATGAGACATCGCTTCGCCTTCGCTAAGGACGAAGATCACAGAGGCCCCTTTGTTCCCTTCGGCCTTTGGCTTCTTCCAAACCCGGCGCCCAAATAAATACAGTGCCTCATTCCAAGGTCACTCACTATGTTAGCAGTACTTTCATGTGATAGATTCAGCATTCCTATGCCTCGTATGCGATAACCACATATAGTGGGTGCGGAAGTCCGAAGTGTTGTATCTGAGGTTGTTTCACTTCAACAAAGGTGCTTTAGCCGCTCAACCCCACCTGGTGTGGTTGAAAGGTAGCTTGCCTAAATATCATGTGACAATAGTACTTGAGTGGGCACCTACCTGTCTTGTCACATGACATTCATTGATGTCAGATGTTTGCGTTCCCCTCAGTAACGTAACCCACGGTTAGGCGGCCCATCTGGTTATCCCATATAAAAGATGTCTTTTTGAATCTTTAATATCTCAACCAATACTGAATCTAATCAGTTCTAACTTTATATATAAACAATATACAACTGAAGAAATAATACATCATTTTTCTAGATTTTTAAAAAAAATTTCTTATAGAAAATATATCAATATATCCAAAATTACAGATAAATTACAGATTTTGTAATATGATAAGATACTATTCATATTTATATAAATTTTAAGAAGTATTAGATAGTTATCAATATAATTTATAATCTATTTATACAATATCAAGTCTTCTAGATCTATAATAGTTGAGATATCATGTATTTAAAAAGAGTCTTTTATATAGTATTACCAGCTGGGCCGCCTAACCGTAGTGGGCCGCCTAACCGTGGATTACGTTATATGCTAAACATTCCGCCGTCCTGATTGAACTAGATCAGACTATTCTACGTACAAGAACAATGCATAGGAAGCTTCTGATGAGAAAAAATAATATCTAGATAATAGTATTGATCTTTTGTAATATATATCTTTATTAAGAACCTATATAAGATTTCATGGAGGCATTGTACATATTGATTGATTGATTGATTGATTGATTGATTGATTGATTGATTCATATATGCTTATGTCAGCACACAGCTGAGTAATGTAATCCATAATCGCGCGGCCTATACGATCGCGCGGCCCATTCCCCTACCCAAAGTATCTAATATTATTCAATTAAAGTCTTTATTTTGGTATAATTCGATATATAAAATACTATATAACTAATTACTAAATAGTTTAGAATACTGCGTATGCCTATAATTAATAATATAATAATTATCATACTATGGAAGTGCCCGCAAGAAAGTCTTTATAAATTAAAATACTTATTTGATCTTATTGTTAATTTTATTATTAATCTTTATATCTTGATTATATAAGATAATTTACTATATATTTTTAATTATATTATTTTTATATAAATTATCTACTTCTTTATATATTTTTTCATATTTATTTTTTATGGCTAGTACATAGTTTCTTATTTTTCTTAATAAGTAGGATAAAATTGATTATGATAAATCTATATGTTTTAAAAAGCTGCTGTAGTATAAAATAAATAAATAATATTAAAATCAATTTAATATTTCTAAAATAAATATTTCATAATATTCTGATACTTTAGAAGATATTTTTGTTATATAATATTTAAAATACTGAGCCACTTGACTGGCTGTTTGCAAAATTATTTTTTAAAGAAATATTTAATTAATAGAATATTTAATTAGAATTTAGAAAAATTAAATATATTATTTTAAATTTATGAATATAATTATAATTATAGCATGCCTGCTGTTTGTCTAAATTATTATATATATATATTTAAATATATTAAAATAACTAATATCCAGAGTTTAAAGTAGATAGGATAAAATATATAAATAAAATTAATTTTATTTCTAATATAATATTCATTAAATTCAGAGATTAAATAACTGTTATAAAATAAAAGATTAGAAGAATATATTTATTTGTTACTTTATTTTTAATTAAATAAATAAAATATTTTTAATATTAAAATCTAATTATATCAGTTATTTAATTATTATTACTAATTTTAATTTTTTAAATAAGAAAAATAGTTTGGTTTTTATATTATATTTAAAAATATATTTTATTCTTAAAAATTAGTATTAGAAATAAAAGATTTTTATTAAATCAAATATATATAATTAAAATTATCTATTTTTACTTTTTTAGTTAAATCAAATATAGCTGATTAATTTTTTTTAAATTAATTATTACTTTAATAATAGTAATCAGTTCTATAGTAAATCCTATTTTATTAAAATTGTATATATATTATTCAATATAATTCTATATTTTTATATTATTTTTAATAACTTTAAACTAGTTTCTTATAATTTTAGAATTTTATTTAGTTTTTGATAGTTATATTATCTAGTATAGTAGATTTAAAAGAATATATAATATTTAATACAATTTTTGACTTAATTAAGATTTATTTCTTAAAATATTATATAATCTTGCTCACAAAGTATTAAATTAATAATTTTATTAATTTTAGATAAATAAAAATATATTTTATTTATTTAAGAATGAATTTTATTTAATAAATAATTTTTTTTTATTTTTTATATAATCTTTAATATATATTAAAAATATTTTCAATAAATTTTTATCCAGCTAAACAAGCACGAAGAGTACTTTAAGGAATATTAAAAATATATATAATCTTATAAATATCAGTAATTCAATATTTTTAAATAATATTAATAATAAAAAGTAATCTTCTTGCTTAACTGCAGTTTTTAATAAGATAATGAATTTTAAAAGTATTTATAGTAATTAAATTACTTCAGGTAAGTGATTAAGAATAGTATTTCAGAAAGAAATAGACCACGCGATTATATGGAGCGCATGATTGTGGATTATGTTAGTTAATGTAATCAATAGTTGGGCGGCCTACACGGTTACAGGTTACAGCTCATCTTGGTCTGAAAAAAAGGTGAGGATGGTCTAATATTCTGCTAGTTATCTCATTACTTTTCTTAGAGTGGTTAACGGCCAGGGTAGAGTAAATTAATGGAAAATGTTTTACCTGCTGTCAGATTAACAGTTAGATATAAGATTTCCTTATATTTAACTGCGGAACAGCTGAAAATAAGATAATTAATTATGTTAATTATTTTTAATATTAAGATTTACTATTTATATTTTTTCAAATTTTAGTATGGATAAGATATACTCAGATCAATAATTATTTATTTTAATTATTAATATTTTTTAAAATCATTAATATAGGAATAATCTTCTTGATTTTAAAAATATTTAAAAAAAAGAAAATAATATATTATATTTTATTTTGATTTAATTAATCAATCATTATTTCAAATAATTATAAAGATTAGATTTTTCGAAAAAGAAATTTTATTAAATAAATAAATATATATATATATATATTTATTTATAGCTCTGTTCTAATTATATATCATTTATAGATTATTAATATTTTTAAATTAATTTTCCAGGCTGGTAAATCTCTCTTAATATTATTTTATATAGTAATAAATATATTTATTATTTTTTACAGACTTCAAAGGGCTTTTGTATATTTATGATAATTTTAAATATTATAAATTTTATATTTTTAAATTATAATATCTTATATTATTTTATTTATTTAATTTATCTGGAAATCTATAGCCATTAATAATTATAAATATAAAGACTTTGAATGATATCTTATAATAAAAAATAAAAATAATTCATATCTAGCTCTTTTAAGAAGAATTCTTATTTTTTATAATTAACCAGGCTTATACATAAGACTAAAAAAATTTTTAGGTAAAATATATTATTTTTAAAAAGATTTATATTTTTTATATTATATACTTATATATTCTATAATATCTAATAATTGATAATTATCTTTACAAGAATTATAAAAAATAGATATTCTGATATATTTTTAAATTAATTATTAAATATTAGATAAAGAATTATTACAGATGTATAATTATTAATAATATTATTATAAATATTAATTTTAAATTCTTTTTAAAAAAGATTCCTGGGCCTTTTAATGAATTATTATTATTAATATTTATGTTTGTAAGTTTTTATTATTCATAATAAAAAATTTCTTAATTAAATATTATAGTTTTTATTATTTGCTATTTATTATTTTATATTATTAAATATATTTAATTTAAATAAAAAATAAATTTTACTGCTTTATTATTCTTCTAAATATTCTATTAAATATAAATCAAAGAGCATTTCTTAAAGTTATTAGAAAAAATATATATTGAATTATTATTAAAATTTCTAAAAAGTAAATATATATAAATTATAATTAATTATTAAGATTGATTGAAAGTAAAAAATATAAATTAAAAAAATACTTTTTACTTTAACCGGATACTTCCTAATAAAAATATAAATTATTATAAAAATTTATTAAATTTCTAATTAATATCTAGATTCTATACTAAGAAAAACTGGTTAAGATTATTTTAGAAATTTTTAGAAAAACATTATTCTATTTATTAGTTCTTAAAAATAACTAGTAATAATACTAATAATAATATTATTATATTTAATATTATTATTTCAAACCTCTGAACTTAACTTAGTGTGATAGAATAACCTGGCTATCGGGGTAAAAGTCATCGGAATGACATATTCCAGTGGTTATGAGAGTCATGAAATTATTAATAGAGGTTCTATATCTCTCTAATACTTATAAGATATCAATTCCTCTGTAAGAAGCTACTGGTCCCTCAAGGATTAGTCTATTTTATGGATATAGGCTACCTTTGTCATTATCGGACGAATATATAGTGTTTAATGGCTGATTCCTTACCTAGTTAACAGGCTTTCTACCCTGACAAGTATATCTTATCATATGTAAGAGCCAATCAAATACTCATATTCAGTACATTTAAACTAGAATATCAAACATAAGAGGGGAAAGGAAAGAAGTATAAAAGAATATATATAAATAATAAAAATAAAATAGGATAAAATAAACAGAATAAATAAATAAAATCATATATAATCTATAAAATAAGTAAAAACTATATTATATACTAGATTATATATTATATTATATCATTTATTATTATACTATTTCTTTTTTTAAGACTAGTTGTTCTTAGCTAGAGATATATTATTAGTTTTATAATTTAATATAAATTTATTAGTCTCAGCAGCGGCTAACCACTGTAGTAAATTTTTAGAAATCCAGAATAAATAGAATATTTAATATGATAATTTTATAAATAAAATAAAATATTCTTAAAATTTCTAGCTACATATTTTATATAGTTTATTTTATCCAAAATAAGC